TTTTTTTTTTTTTTTTTTTTTGTAGTGGAGACCCACACACGGCGACCCTTTAGAAATACAGAATAGAGCTTCGATAATTAATAATTGGAATTTCGACCAGTTGATAATTAGAATAGAAGCTTTCGACCGTTTGTAATTGGAATTTTGCGATTCTCTGTTTGTAAAAAATTAGTTGGTTAAGTGCTCTCGTTAATATTCAGGCATTAAACATGGAAACTGTTTGAAAAATTTTGTACGTCACGAGACGTGTATTTTTATCACGGAATTTTTTTTTTTTTGAGTGGATTTTAATCTTTTGCGCTAGAATGACGTGCCACGCACGTCGAGAATTTTTTCTCCCAAAATTGCAATATTTTCTCAGTTTTAAGTATATTTAAATATAACCCAGGCAAAACAAATAATAAATTTATTGTTTCTTAGTAATAATTTCTATCCAGTGATATTATACCGACGAGTTTAAAAAGAAAGCGATGAATTATTGTATACGGTTTGGTCACTCGTTATGGTCCACAAACCAGTTGCCAGCGCAAGAGGTTAATCTTAACGTCGAGAATTGTTTGTCCTAAAATTGCAATATTTTCTCAGTTTTAAGTATATTTAAATATAACCCAGGCAAAACAAATAATAAATTTATTACTTCTTAGAGATAATTTCTATCCAGTGATATCATACCGACGAGTTCAAAAAGAAAATGACGAATTATTGTATATAGTTTGGTCACTCGTTATGGTCCGCGAACCAGTTGCCAGCGCAAGAGGTTAACCTTAACGTCGAGAATGTTTTGTCCCAAAATTGCAATATTTTCTCTTTTAAATATATTTAAATATAACCCAGGCAAAACAAATAATAAATTTATTGTTTTTTAGTAATAATTTCTATCCAGTGATATTATACTGATATAATACCGACGAGTTTAAAAAGAAAGCGATGAATTATTGTATACGGTTTGGTCCGCGAACTAGTTGCCAGCGCAAGAGGTTAACCTTAACGTCGAGAATTGTTTGTCCCAAAATTACAATATTTTCTGTTTTAAGTATATTTAAATATAACCCAGGCAAAACAAATAATAAATTTATTACTTCTTAGCGATAATTTCTATCCAGTGATATCATACCGACGAGTTCAAAAAGAAAGAATTATTGTATACCGTTTGGTCACTTGTTATAGTCCGTGAACCAGTTGCCAGTTCAAGGGGTTAATAGTTGATGATTGAAATTTCAATCAGTTGATAATTAAAATGAAAGCTTTATAATTGGAATTTACCGTTTATAATTGGAATTTTGCGAATTCTCTGTTTGAAAGGAACAGTTTGCTCTGTTAGCTAAGTTTTTTTATAGCCATTAACGTTCGGACGTTATTACAACAATGAAACTGTTGTAATTTTGTACAAGAAACAAAGTGGCTTTGCTCTAAAGTTTGAAGTTCTCTACTTCCATTTCGTTCCAAGATGATTCTACACCACGTAGCTGATGATGAAAGTAAAGGTACTTTTTCTTCTCGAGAATGCTACGAGTTGTCGTAGTATGTAAAGTCTTTTCATTGAAAAATTCTCTTCGTCACTTCGAGGAACTCAACGATTCTACTCGAATGTCCTGAAAAAGCCAAAGATAATTCAAACTCAGTCGAAACCTTGCGAATGAAAGATACTCGCAACAGGCTCGAGGAAATCCTCCACAACGAAGAATATTACTCGCAGATATTAGTTCGAACGTACGTCTCGAGGAATTCAACGATTCTACTCGAAGGTTCTTAAAAAAGTCTATAATAATTCACCTTTGATAGTTTCCGAGTAATTTACACACACAGACGCAGAGTGTACGAGAGAGAGAAAGAGAGAGAGGGAGGTCTAGTGGGTTGACTGGAGGTTCGCGTAATCATCACCTCCCATGTAAAACGGGGCCTGGCAAATGGTAATGGCTCGTTTGGAGTACTTGCATGCAGTTAATTTCGCCGTGCCGAGGAGAAGAGCGTCTGCAGACGGGAGGAGAACACACGGCGACACGCTCTGCGAGAAGGACGAGGATCACCGCGCCTCGTCCTGCCGTTGTTCCATTTCGGAAACGGCGCGTAACATCGGCGGAATCAAGCTTGGTCGATCGTTCCCGCGTGAACTTCTTCTCGGTGGGTTTAATTGGCTAATCGCTTCGTCAATCGCGATTGGGGTTCGTGACTGTCCGATCGAAGATGGCTCGAGGCTCGTCGAACATGGATTCACCTGTATTGCAGTAACCTAACAATGATCGTAATCGAGCTACGTTCAATTCTGAAAGTTCGATCTGGCTCGATCCTGAGTTTGAAGTTTCGTCGAGAAGATTACATAGATATCCTCGTCCATTCAAATGAATTTGATTGATTTATCAATGCTTTGA